CTAGTTCTAATAAAGCATTAAAAGGTTTTTCTTTCGAATAAAACAAGTTTCAGTATCCTAGCGTTAATAGGTTTCGTTTTATTGGCAAATCAAAAAGGTTCAGTTACTTCTGGGACACCCTGTATATAACAGCGTCACTACGTAAATATTTATATAATTAAGTGAGGTAAGTCTTTACCTAAATAGCGAGTTTAAAAGCATTCTTTCTGTCGGCAGCCGTCATTTTGGGTCATGATTTTAGGACCACTCAAATATATCCGCTCAGGGCCGACAAAAATGAAGGCCCATAACAAATTTCACGAACGAATATACCCAAGATTAAATAAAAAGCTTTCTATAGCCAATTATTCCTTGAAAAAATCGTTTTATTTAGCTATATCGGCGTTGAATATCTCCGTACTTTACCTTGTTCGAAGATAAACTCAGAAACAAGATGTAAGATTTTGAGCGTGAAAGTAAGGCATATATCTCCTGCTCTAAATGAAAGAACCAACTTTGCTATGTACACTAGAGGAATTTTCAGTACATCCTTGTCTATTTCTAGGCTCAGTTATAAGATAAAAATGCAGAACAGAATGGCAGAATATCAACGACGGTTTTGAGAAAAATAATAATCATCTGTCCGTTCCGTTTTAAGATTTTCTATTTATGGATTTCGCTCTATAGATAGCAAATGTAAGGACATCTTCTGTACAAGGCTTGACAGAGAAAACTGACGGTTATTCTCGGGTGTTTGTATATATGCTTGTTTACAGTCGTCATGTTTCGTTGGGTCACGATAAAATTAGCAGATTTGCGAAATAGAATTTTGCAAATTTATTCCACCCTTCTTTTCCCAAAAAATAATATGCTATCTCATATTTGCGCCCACCTAAATTTTATGAAAACACACCAAAATTTCGTCTTCTCTATACATATAAAATTTAAACGTTTTTTTCGTTTTTCTAATCATGTGTGTCTATAGAACAACTAGCAAGAGCAGGCCGTTCTTTTCGGCAAGGATTAATAGCATAGAAAGTTCCTCGGATATTGTAGGGGTCTAAGTAATGTTTGTGCCTAGATCACTACAATCGTCATGTCAAATTCCCCAGGTAGAAGATAAAAGGCAAGAGTCACCAGAATGAGTGGTTTATAATATACAGAACTCCCCCTTTGCAGCCTCAGGTGGCTGGCTGGCTAGTAGCCCTCGTTGGATCAGGAGCCTCGCCGGGTGGGCCTCAATCCCGGCGGTGGCGAGGAGGAGGAGCGTGGTCGGGAGGGGCTGCTTCGTCGAGACATGAAGAGCAAAGGGGGATAGATCCACCGTAGGGAGGTTTGGTGTTGCAGACCTTGGCCGCCGTGAGGGCGGGTGGGAA